AACTGATCTGAATCAATGGGGAAACCCCCTCATTCTGTCAGAGGGAGTTCCCATCAGCAGGCCTACATCACACATCTCAGTTTTTCACAGACACGTTCTTGTCAAGATGGGAGGAATGTGTCTGTCCCAAACAGTGGGAGCACAGTGGCTGGACCAAATGTCGCTTCACATCAACCTTTATTTATACAGGTAAATCCCATTGAGCCTCAAGGACTCATTTACAAGAGAGACCTAAAAATAAATAAACATAAATGTGATATAATGTTTTCACGGTCTGAAACGTGACTCAGCATTTTGTCCCTGCTGCGGGATCAGCATTTTCTGATCCACACAGACAAAAAGGTGACGACAGTTTACATAAACCGCCAGGGAGACGTGCGCTCAGCCCAACTGTTACACATCACAAAACAGCTGTTGTGTTGGGCACACAAAAAACCTGCTCTCCATCAGAGCAGTGTACATTCCCAGCATCCTGAACAGGCGAGCGGATATCATGTCGGTCCCCGCCACAGATACTGGAGCCTCCATCCCGAGCTGATTTCTCGGATTTGGAGCAGGTTTGGCCGAGCAGCAGTGGATCTGTCCGCCACACGGGAGAAAGCCCAGTGTCAATTATGGTTCTCACTGAGTCCATAAGACGACCCATCGTTAGGAGTGGACGCCTTCGCTCACAGCCCTTGACCAAAAATGCTCCTTTATGCGTTCCCTCCAGTCCTGCCGATATCACGGACCCTGGACCGGGTCCGGGAGGAAGAACCGTCAGTCATCCTCGTAGCTTCAGAATGCATAAGCGCTCCGTGGTTCCCGAATCTGCAGCAACTGATATCAGGTCGGCCGTGGAAACTGCTGGGGGGGGGGCCCTCTCCTCCAGGCAGGAAGAGTGTTCAGGAGTTACCTAGAAATAGGTCAGCACCTTTTGGTCTGTCCGCTGAACAGATCCATTTAGAAAAGATGGGCCTCCCACAGGATGTGGTGCATACATTCAGGGTGCACAAGCTGCTTCCATCACAATGCTATACACATCAAGTGGACAGTTTTTCAGCGCTGGTGCTCAGAGAAAGGCATGGAGGCCATCTCATGTCCACTAGGTGGCATGCTGTCCTTTCTGCATCAGCTGATGGACAGAGATCTAGCGTTCAGCACAATTAAAACTTGTGCTGCAGCTATTTCTTCCTGTCATGAGGGCTTAGGTGACAGAACAGTTCTTAATCACCCGTTGATGAAGCGCTTCCTGAAAGGTGTACGGAGACACAGACCAGTGTCATGTCCACTAGCTCCACAGTGAGACCTAATGATGGTCCTGCACGCTCTGATCAAAGCACCTTCTGAGCCTTTAGATCAAGTTTTACTTAAATTTCTGTCATTTAAAACAACCCTGCTGTTAGTTCTGACGTCGGCAAAGAGAGTGAATGATTGTTTGCTCTCTCTGTTGCTCCCTCATGTCTCAGAATTCAAGCTGACGGCAGTTCAGCTGTACTGCGTTTTAACCCTGCTCTGAAAAGCATCACAAGCTCATTCAGATCGAGAGTGATAACCTTGGATGGGTTTTATCCTCTTCCTCATAATTCTGAGGAGGAAGCAACATATCACCTCCTTCTGTCCCATGCACGCATTTTTCATGTTACGTGGCACACACGGCCACACTGCGCCGCTTTCAGCGTATGTTCGTGAATTACAGGGACAGCTCTTCAGGACGTCCTCTATCCACCCAACGCCTCTCACACTGGTTGTGTGAGGCTATTTCTGAAGCTTACAGTTCATCTGGACTGGATCCTCCAGAGAATCTCAGCACATTCCACCAGAAGGTTTTCATCCTCCATGGCTCTGCATGGAGGGATGACAGTGGAGGATATTTGTATGGCGGTTGCCTGGTCATCGCCATGTTCAATTATTCGTTTTTATCTAGGTGATGTTTCTACTTTCTCCATGACCCATTCTGTTCTCAGGGTTCTGACAGAATGATTATTTGTTTCATGGAGCCTCACTTTTGAGCTCACACCTGTCTGCATGCAGTCGCAGTGTGAGATATTTATTATCAGTCACAAGTTCATGATTTTATCGTTATTAATCGGTTCATCCTGAAGAGCTGTTGGTCTGCTCTGTTTATCGTTGCACTGTTACAATTCGTATCCTCCGTTGTTCCTATTCACAGCAGCAGGTCTGCTATCTCAGCCTTTCTTCCTCACCAGAGATCTTCTCCGGTGCGCTCCTGCGCATGGAGCATGCAATTACTCAGCGAGTAATTACACACACAGAAGACTGAGTGATGAAATGTTTTTTTTGTGCAAGCAGGCGCTTCATGTTGTGTTTGAGTGGACCCAGTAAGACAGACTATATCCTGCTTCACCTTTAACCCACTAGCAATAGCCTTAAAGGGCGAAGCCTATACGAAATAGAACGTTGGTTACGTACTGTAACCCAGATTCTATGAGTATAGGCGCAGCCCTTTAAGCTCTGGGCCTCACTGGTTCCTAAATGGCTGAAAAAAAAAGCTATTTGGGAGCCGATTACCCGGTCTCACCGTAATTTATACAGACCGGGGATGAGGCCCACTCAGTAGGTGGGCATGGACTAAAGTTTTCAGAGCTGCGCTGCACGCGTAGGGATAAACCCACTAGCGATAGCCTTAAAGGGCTGTGCCTATACTCATAGAATCTGGGGTTACAGTACATAACCAACGTTTTGATGATATAAATCTCTCTGAGAAACATTCCAAATGCTTCACAAAAATCCCTATGTATACAAGATGTTGCAACGGCATGAAAACATACTTACCAGCTTAAAGGTAACATTTTTGTTACTTTGAGGATCATCAACAATCTTTTGCAAATTGGCAGCAACTACACAGAGCAAAAAGAAGACTTATTGATATACATAATATAAAGCCATAAACTATAAATGTGCACTCAGATAATAGATCATCAACATTTACCGGTATATACCATGAATTAATTCAGGCTGTTGACTAACTTGATTACTGATAACTTATCAATGACTAAGTCCCTCCCATCAACCAGGCCAGCCGAGACCAACTCCTGAGAAACCCCATCGGCACAGTCTGATGACAGAAAAGACAAACACAAGAGGTGAAAAACAGAACAAACAAATAAACAAGGAGCCTCGGAGCATTCTCACCTCTGCCTGGCATGAACTCAAACCGGATGTCATTGAGCTCTTTCTTGGAGTTCCTCAATCTAAGCACGAGGTTGATGGAAATATTAGAGTCAGCTAGACTCTAACATGGCACAGCAAAAAAAAAAAAAAGTATTAAAACCAATAGTATCAAAGAAAATGACAATAACGACATCAAGCTCACACCTGAAAACAAAAGAGAAATCAGAGTATTATTGTTATGCATGTTTTAGTAGAAAAATCAAGAATATATTAAACACCACTGGTATACTTCAAGAATAAAAAGAGTACCGCATACAGTGCATCATACGCCCATCAACAGACTTGTACAGCAATCTACAGTAGTGCTTGAAAGTTGGTGAAGCCATTAGGATTTTCTATATTTCTGCATAAATGAGGTAAAACATCACCAGATTTTCACACAAGTCCTAAAAGTAGATTAAGAGAACCCAGTTAAATAAATGAGACAAAAATATTATACTTGGTCATTAATTAATTCTAAAGAGATCACAAACTTTCAAGCACTACTGGATGGCAATGGCCTGGGCAAGCAGAGGCCTTGTATGTTGTCAGTTAAGGTCAGGACAAAAGAGAGTTTATGTATGTACAGAGTAGAGACAATCCCATATTACATCAAGTCTATGATGGCGTGCAAATACAAGAGGTTGATGAAGTCTTTAACAAAAACGTTTTTCTCCCATCTGTGATCCATCACAAACAAACAAGATGAGCCCACTTTTATTCTGTAAGAACGGTACAACTTTTTTCCATCCATCCACCCTCTTTTGCTTTTTCCCAAGTTGGGTCACAGGGGCAGCATCTTAAGCAGGGAGACCCAGACATCTCCTTCCACAGCCACCTCTTCCAGCTCTTCTGGGAGGATTCTAAGGTTTTCCCATACCAGGAGTCTGCAACATATGGCTCTGGAGCCACATGCGGTTCTTTGGTTCCTCTGCAGCGGCTCTTTCAAGTTTTGACTAAAATGAACATAAAACTGAATTTTATTTATTGTTATACAAACAACAAAAAAGGAATAGTTTTAGCAGTTTTCATGTCATTTCTTTTGCAATTATGTGAATACTGGAAGTATTAAGTAAGAAGTTTAAAAAAAAAAAGCACACTTTTACTTTATGCTTTATTTCTATACTTGTTTTTTTCCACAATAAAAAAATACATAGGTCTGCATAGTTTTTAGTTATTCATAAAAATAAAATAAATAAATAAATAAAAATAAAAAACTACTACACCCCCAACTCTCTTTACAAGAATCTGGTCTTTTCATTTGTCTTAATCGATTGATTCCGTCTCTGTCACAAACCTACTGGAAAGTGGTGTTGCCTTCAGGACCCTACAGAAGTAGGAGCTTGTCCCGTTCGTTGACGGCTTTGGTAGAACATCTAGGTTCGAATTCTACCAAAATGGAACGAACTTAAACACGACTCTTTCAAAGTAATAATAACAATAATAATAATAAAAGACAATTTCCTCTTTTCTTCTCATCTGCGTCTTGCACTCGCCTTTAATATTGTCCAGTGTCCAAAAACGCTACAGTCAAAACGAAGACGAGCCTTAAAATTCCGTCGTTATTGAACGCATCTTGGTTTCCTCCGGAAACGCTTTTTGTGTTATTGTTGTTAGCATGGACGTTAAAACGTTAGGTTGGAAAATGCTTTAAGTATTTCTTTACAAATACATTTCGTTATGTTTTATTGAAACGTCCAGCGTTTTTCAGTATTATGATTGTATTTGGTGTAAATACCGAAAGCTGGGCGCTTTTTACGATGCTAACTTTAGCTAAATTAGCCGATAGTAGCTTGACTGTTCGTAGTTAAAGTGTTTGTCTGAAGGTAGCGGTAGCTGCTTCCATAATGAACTTTGACGGTCTCGACGCTGGGATGGGTGAGTACTCGGCCAGTCTTCACGGGACTATGGATGCAGGACTGGAACCCTCCTTGGACCCGCACCTGAACCCGAACTTACTGCAGGCTGTGGAGCTTGACCCGGAGGGGCTGGCGGGGACGGTACCGGAGCCCGTGCACCTGATGGAGGGCATGTTTTCAGAGCTCCACAGCGTGGTGTCAGAAGTTGGCATCCCAGTCACTGCAGTCCATTTTGACCTCCAGGAGGAGATGCTCTGGATGGGGAACCACAGAGTAAGAGCCTCAACTCTGGTCCTTGAGGAACACCATCCTGCATGTTTCAGTTTTCTCCTGTTCCAGCACACCTGATTCAGTGGTTTAATTACTTCCTCAAGTTCTGCAGAAGCCTGTTAATCACCCATTCATTCAAATCTGGTGTGTTAAAGCAGGGTAAAACGAGTAAAACATGCATGATGGTGTTCCTCAAGGACAACAGTTGGGAACCCCTGGATTATACAGAATGATGGTTGTGGCTGTGTCGTTCTGACTTCTTGTTTATACCCCCAGGGTCATGCAACCTCATACTTCGGACCTACAATGGGTCGCTATTCTTCTTTCCAAGTGCATTCAACAGATGACATCCGACACATTCAAAGTCTAGAAACAGGGGTGTTGTTTCTTTCCAAAGGCAACCTGAAGTGCTACACTCGCGGGGGCCTCGTTATGTTTGATTATCCGTAAGCGATGCAAAATATAAACTGGAGCAAATGTCTCTTAAGCTAATATAAATCAGAGAACCTGCGGTTTTGACATGTCTGCTTTCCAGGATGGAGGAAGGAGCTGATATGCACAGTCTTTTCATGGCTGACAACAACATGTTGCTCATGGGTGGATTACAAAACTATGTGGTGGAAGTGGACTTGAATACGGTTCAAGAAACTCAAAAGGTGAACCTCAGAGTTGTACTGTATGTGGCCAGTTTGCTTTAATACTTAAGACATAAAACGTATTTTAAAGTAAACATCTGGCTGTTTATGGTCATTTATTTGACAGTTCACAGTTGAGGTACCTGGAGTGGCAATAATGCGCCAAACCAATCGTTTCTTCTTCTGTGGGCACACTTCTGGCAAGGTGAGGAAGACGCAGTTATGCCATTTGTGAAGAACTGTTTCAGTTTTGTTCGTTTCTCATGGTCCCCGTCTGTCATGACAGATAACCCTCCGTGACCTGCGCACTTTCAAGATGGAGCATGAGTTTGATGCGTTCTCTGGCAGCCTCTCGGACTTCGACGTTCACGGGAACCTTCTTGCTGCGTGCGGGTTTTCAAGCCGTGGACTGAACGGGATGGCGTGCGATCGTTTCCTGATGGTGTACGACCTCCGCATGATGCGAGCTGTAACCCCACTTCAAGTGCACGTGGATCCCCTCTTCCTGCGCTTTATTCCTACCTACACATCACGCCTTGTGATCATCTCACAGACAGGTATTTCAGCAGGAAACTCGGGTCATTAACAATATCGTGGGTCAGTTTGTAGGTTCAGGCTTTAATATGTGATTGTAGCTCATGCGTTTGTCTTCTGAAACGATGATCGTACAATCGTGGAACAGCAAATATACTCACCAGCCACTTTATACTGTACACCTTCTGGATGCTGGGCTGGACCTATTTTTGCCTTCAGAGCTGGTTTAATTCTTTGTGGCATAGATTCACTGTGTTGGGAATATTTGGTCCATATCGACATGTTGGCATCACACAGTTGCTTCAGTTTTGTCAGCAGCACTATTCTATTGCAAATCTCCCGATCCAGCTTTCCCAGGTGATGAATTAAATTACGATCTGTGGAGTTCAGTGAATGGAGACTCATCAGAGCTGTCAGTGTTTTTCCAAACTCTTCTTGTCCAGTGTTGATAAGTTTGTGGAAACTGTAGCTTCTGTTTCTTGTTCTGAGCTGACAGGAGAGGTACTTGTTGTGGTCTTCTGCTGCTGTAGTCCGTCTGCTTCAGGCTGAGCGTGTTATGTGTTCAGAGGTGGTTTCTGCAGACACTGGTTTGTAACCAGTGGTTATTTGAGCTACTGTTGCCATTCTGTCATCTCAAACCAGTCTGCCCACTCTCCTCTGACATCAACAAGGGATTCGGGGCCACACAAGCAACTTTCTGGATATTTTCTTTTTCAGACCATTCAGTAGATCTGCAGACCAGTTCATTTGGCTCCAACCACCACACCACGATCAAAGTCACTTAAATCCCCGTTCTTCCACTTTCTGTTGCTCGGTTTGAACTCAACAAGTCATCTTCAACACGTCTACATACCTAAAGGAACTAATTTGCTGCCATGTGATTGGCTGATTGTATTGTCAAGCAGTTGAACAGGTGGACGTATTAAAATGGCCGTTGTGTATGTACGTCATTGTATCGTTGTTTAGGAGCCATTGTTATCATAGTTGTGTATGCTTAAAGAGAATTTGTCTTGAATCTATCCATTGTTTTAATTCTCCAGGTCAGTGTCAGTTCTGTGAGCCCACTGGTCTGGCCAACGTGGCAGATATTTTCCACGTCAACACCGTGGGCCAGCTGCTCATGAGTTTCGACGTGTCGGCCAGCAAGCAAGCCTTGGCCTTTGGGGATTCGGGGGGCTGTGTGCACCTGTGGGCAGATGTTCCCGAGGTCTCTTTCAATGACTACTCTCGAGAGACGGAGTTCGCTCTGCCCTGCCTCGTTGACACGCTGCCTCAGCTGGACTGGAACCACGACTTTCTGCCGCTTTCTCTCGTCCCCATGCCGCTGACGAGCGCCGAGCCGCTGCTGTCGGACTGGCCGACCGCTCTGGTGACACCTAGCCCCAGGTAGGACAGGTTGATGACAGGAACTATGGTTTGTCTCAGCTGAGCTCCCCATAAGAAGTTCGGCTGCTGGAGGTGCTCTTTAAAAAAAGAATGTTCTAAAAATGTGCGGTTGGTGAATTTTACTTTTTAGGAAATGTATATAAAAATATACAATTAAAGTTCAAAGTTCTTTATTTGCCATGTTTTCACAGACCAACAATCCAGACACATTGTAATTCTTGTGCAGAGCTCTGTCAAATTCAAAACACTGAAACACTAAAGAAAACAAAAATGAGAACAAAGTGGTTTATATCCACACTGTACAGAAAGTAAACCATGTCACATGACCAGTGACGTTACAGTGCCTTGTGAAAGTATTCAGCCCCCTTGAACTTTTCAACCTTTTGCCACATTTCAGGCTTCAAACATAAATATATAAAATTTTAATTTTTTGTGAAGAATCAACAACAAGTGGGACACAATCGTGAAGTGGAATGAAATTCATTGGATGTGTCAAACTTTTTTAACAAATAAAAAACTGAAAAGTGGGGCGTGCAATATTATTCGGCCCCCTTGCGTTAATACTTTGTAGCGCCGCCTTTTGCTGCAGTTCCAGCTGCAAGTCTCTTGGGGTTTGTCTCTATCAATGTTGAACATGGAGAGACTGAAATTCTTGCCCATTCTTCTTTGCAAAACAGCTCGAGCTCAGTGAGGTTGGATGGAGAGCGTTTGTGAACAGCAGTCTTGAGCTCTTTCCACAGATTCTCGATTGGATTCAGGTCTGGACTTTGATTTGGCCATTCCAACACCTGGATATGTTTATTTGTGACCCATTCCATTGTAGATTTGGCTTCATGTTTTGGATCATTGTCTTGTTGGAAGATAAATCTCCGTCCCAGTCTCAGGTCTCTTGCAGACTCAAACAGGTTTTCTTCCAGAATGGTCCTGTATTTGGCCCCATTGTGTCCCACTTGTTGTCGTTTCTTCATAAAAAATAAAAATTTTATATCTTTATGTTTGAAGCCTGAAATGTGGCAAAAGGTTCAAGGGGGCAGAATACTTTCGCAAGGCACTGTAGGTAGTGTGGGGTTATTATTGCACCTGATCAGTGGTTTTGTTTTGTCACCAGTCTGACTGGCAGGGTAAAAACTGTTAAAAACTTGTGCTGTGGGCGATGATGCTCTCTGCTCTACTGTTTCTCAGGTTAGATGAACATTTTTTGTGTCTGATAAGAGAGAGAGTGGGACAGAGTGAGTCCTTGAGGATTCCTGCTGCTCTTCTTTGACAGTGCTGTACAAACATCGAGTCCATGAAGGAAATTTTGTCCCTATGATCCACACCGCAGTTTTTATGGCTCTTTGCAGTGCCTTCCTTTCTGCTTGTGTGGTGTTCCTGTACCAGACGGTGATGCCTGCAGTTAAGATACTCTGTCATTCCTCTATAGGCCTGGGTGAGAGGGCGCTGGTTCAAACCAGCTTTCCTGAGCAGCCTAATGAAGTAAAACCTTTGCTGGGCTTTTTTCACTGTGGCTGTGGTGTTGAGAGACCAGCTCAGGTCCAATGTAACCTGCAGTCCCAAGAATCTATGGCTGTCAGCCCTCCCTACCTCAGTCCCTTTAATGATGAAAGGCTGCAATGGGGGAGGGTTCTTCCTGAAGTCCAATATGATTTATTTGGTCTTTTTTGTGTTGAGGATGAGGTCGTTCTTCTCTCCATAGCTTATAATGTTGTTACCCGAGTCCTGCATCCTGACTTGTTCCCCTCCTAGATGAGCCCCAGTATAGTGGTGTTGTCAGCATATTTAAAAACGATGGTGTTGTGCTGGGTGGAGACACAGCCATAAGTGTACAGGGTAAAGCATTTAGGGCTGAGACAATAGCCCTGCGAGGCTCCTGGGCTGACTGCGAGTTCAATTCAATTCAAAAATACTTTATTAATCCCAGAGGGAAATTAAGTGTTGTCGTAGCTCATCATCCTGGTTCCATTCAAGAGCTATAGATACTGATAGCTGTGGACAGGAAGGATCTCCTGCAGCGAATCAGAAAAATTTGGCCACAGATACCAAGCCGTCCACCCGGATCCAGCTGGCTGTCGGATCCGGCAGGCCTCTCAATCCTCCTGGGCAGCAGGACTGCCCGAATGCCGAGCAGAATTCCTCCCTGAGTGATGGTCACTCCTCCCAGTA